TCAGAAGTTCAATGAAGTCATTTTAAGACCGGTTACCTACTTTTTTGTAACTTAAAACAACTAATCTTTTTTATATTGTTGCTGGCTTTATGAGACTCAGAGGAAGCATGTGCGAGTCTTCACCCTGACAGATTGGTAGCGTTATGTAATCTTGTAGCATTGTGTAATATATATTTACATATGCCCAGATACATTTACAGTGGGCACGATGAAATTTAGCGAGCACAGTAATGCCCACACACATACATGGCACATACTGGCCTAGGCACTACACAGAATTGTGCAGAGGGACGTTACCGAGTGTGGGTGCTGCCACAAATATAATGGCAAAAGGTCCACATCATCAATCAGATATCACTCATCTTTAGAACACTCATACCACACTGTCATATCAGTCCTACTGAATATCGTAACGCAGTGTTTCCAGCGTGTCATCCTGGAACTCTTGACGGCTGGAACAGAGAGGAAACCTTTTGACAGTGACTTCCTCCTTTGTCTTCTCTGATCATCTCTCCTTCTCAGTCTTCTGTCCTGCTGTTCCCTCCTTACCTCTCTTCCTCCTACACTTGGCTTTCTCCTTCTTCTCCTGTAGTTACAACGAATCTGATACTTCACGTCTAATTCTAGTATGTGACATTTCTCACACATTCTCTGACCTTTTGTGTGCTGGTGGGTGGGAAGTAGGGAGGGGGGGGCTGCCCCACAGTGGCATCTTCATAATCCCTTTTTTTAAAAAGGTTGTTCGCTCATTTCGTGTGACTTATTCAGCTATTTTCGAACCTGTTTTGCAAGTTATATAACAAGATAGGCTTTAGAGGCACTTGCCCTACCATGGAGAGCTGTTCAATGTTTTCTCAGCTCTAATACAACTGACACAACTTCTAATAAAACTGCCACAACAGCATAATTGCCAGTTAAATCCTGGAGAAGGTAAAATAAGCAAGAGTGGAATTGGGCCCTCGTGCACTATAAGCAATGAGCCATCATTACTGTCAATTACAATTGTTTCTAGAGCGCATAATTAGGATGGGCAATTAGAAAAGTCTATACAATGGGGCATTGTTTTAAAAGGTGCATTGTCATACAAAGGCTTCTGTGGGGGAAGAACCAAAAACTGGCCTTCCAACTGCACTAATCACTGCTTGTAATTCAACACTGGTGATTTCAGAACCCTGAATACTTTATGTCCATAGGGATTGGACGTGTAATGATCAACAGCGTGTGGAAAAAGGAGGAGAGGGGTTCCACTTAATTTTGGCATGGGAGAAGGTTGGAAAGAAGCTAAAAGCTTCATGGAACTCCAGACATAATTGTAGGAAAAACTGAGATTGGATGGGCTTTTTGTTTTTTAACTGAAACGCTTCCAGAGTCATGGAACCCAACGCACATCATCTGGACAGAGAGTTCCGAGGTAGAACTCTTTCCAGGTTTCTACTCGGTTGCTTTGTAATAAATGCAGCCTATACTAAACCTCAGTGCCTCGTTTAAAGGAATGTTTCGGCGAAAAATCTAATTTACTCAATATTCCAATTACCCCAAGATGTAGTCGATTGACCGAGATATGTTTGGAACCCAAACCGATCAATTCTTTATCTCAAAAGTGGAGCAGCGAGGCTAACACTGCTAACAAACACTACAACTCAGTTGTCACCCAAACAGCCCACATCGCTTCTGTAAAAAATACATCCCTAAAACTTCTTTCAACCTCCTTAAATCGCATCCATATCTTCATTAAGGTTAAGCAGACTGGGTGATGTGATTTAGAGCACATTATGACATACTGTGACCTATGAAAATGAGCAAAACTGCAGGCAGCCACATTAAACAAAAAGAATTTGTATTCACAAACCACCTCAGCAGTCGGAGCGTTGATTTAGAATCAGTTCTTGTGACACTATCTTAAATATGGAGGAATCTGATCCAAGATCATCCCAGCTCTGGTGGTGTCTGAAATGGCTGCCTGTAGTGTTGAAGTTCTGTTCATTTTTATAGCTCACAGTAAGTGACACTGTGCTCTTAACCACACCAGCAAGACTGTGCAACCTTAACGAAGACCTGGTTGTGGTTTGAGCGAGTTGAGAGAAGTTTTGGGCATGAATTTTTACAGAAACAATTTGAACCATTTGGTTGATTATTGCTCGCAGATCCAGTTCTAAACTAAAGAAGCAAAATATGGTCTCCAAACATGTCCTGGCTACATCTAGGGTAGAGGAAAACTGGCTAAAGTTGATATTTCACCAAACTATTCCTTTATGTTCTTCATGTTGCTCTTGCTGAACTCTTTCAAGGCCTGGGACAGCCTACTGATTACTCCACATACCATTTGGTACAGCAGCAGTGTTGGCCAATGTCTGATTCTTATTACACTGACTGTTACTCCAGCCAATTCTGAAGAATTTTGCATGGTATGAGACACATGAGCCTTAATTTTTCAAAAAAGAAACAAAGAAGTCATGTGTCATGCATAAGTTCATCTCAAGTCATATGACAAATGCAATATGCTGAGACTGCATCATGCACTCCTGCATCTAGGGTTACTGTGCCTTCACTGAATGTTCTTAGATAATGTTTACAGGGTAATACCACTGTAGCACATCTTGTAGATTTAACAGTAAATACTTAGAAGTAATAATCTGAAAATTGGAAAATTGAGGGCCAGCACTGTTTGGTGATCTTCATGCTCTGGCTCTTCCAACTAAATTTGGCATTAACTGATGAGTTGCATCAGGCATGCTTGAGCAGGAAAATCACCAAGCTGTGCAAAAATCTGGCCCTCCAGGACTGGAGTTCCCCACCCCTGCTGATAACAAATGAATATACAAGATGTGTATTACTCACAACTATTCCATTTACGCACATCTGTTGCTCACACCTCTCACTTTTCAGGTTTAGCACTATATTTTAGCCCAAAAAGGTCAGAAAAGAGAAGAGTGGCACCTTAACTGAAGTTCCTATGCTGACAGGTGATTGATGTACTAAGACGTTTCACACTTACACTTTCACAGGAGTAACGCCACACCTGTAGCAACAGTTTAACGGTGGACTAAAACAACACTTTTAGGCTGCTCTACCAAGCTGCTTCTAAATGTACTTTGTAGTAGGCTTTGGGTTTTGAAATGTGCATACACAATCCTAACTGGTGGTTGTTTCACAAAGCAAGATTTCTAAACCGGACACCTTTCACAAAGAGAAATGCACCCCATCTTTCCTCCTATAGGACAGCTTTAACTTTGGTTAGTGCTTTATTTTAGGCCAAAAAGATCCGAAAAGAGATGAATGGCACCTAACTTCAGTTCCTACGCTGACAGATGTCGGATGTACCAGCAAATTCCACTGCCGTTCTAAGGGGAACTCAATTCAAGTTTTTGGTCGCTACTTTTACTTACACTTTCACTGAAGTAACAAGATATTTGTTGCACTCACTTCCGCCAAAAACTAACCCTAGCCCTAAAACAACACTTTTTCAGCTATTCTACCAACCTACTTTTAATTCTATGTTTTAGCAGGCTCTGGGTTGTGTTCTTATGTTTTGAAATGTGTGCACACAGTATTAAAGTGGGGGTTAGTTCACAAAGCTAGATTTCTAATCTGGACATTTTAAATGTCCAGTACTGTCCTACTGTCCAATAGGAATGCACCTAATCTATCATCTTATTGGACAGATTTGACTTTGGTTATCACCTTATTTTAGGCCAAAAAATATGAAAACAGAAGTCACCTAACTCAGTTCCTATGCTCATATGTGTTAGATGTACTTACAAGTTCCACAACAGTTCTATGAGGAATTCACCTCGAGTTTTTGGTAGCTATTTTTTACTTACACTTTCACTGGAGTAATAACACATTTGTGGCAACAGTTTAGGCTGCAGCAGAGTTACCTAGAACTAGAATATGTCCACAGAATCCTAACTGGGGGCTATTTCACAAAGCTGGACACCATCAACGTAAGCGATGACTGTCAAATGGCAATCCCCCTAATCTTTCCTCCTACTGGACAGATTTACCTTTTGGTTAGCACTTTGTTTTAGACTAAAAAGATCCGAAAAGAGAGGAATGGCACCTAACTTCAGTTCCTATGTTGACAGGTGTTGGATGTACTATCAAGTTCCTTGGCAGTTCTATGAGGAACTCCACTCAAGTTTTTGGTAGCTATTTTTACTCACATTTTCAGTGGAGGGATAACACAATGGTATCAACAGTTTAACAGAATAGCCTAGAACAACACTTTCTGGCTATTTTACCAACCTACTTTCAAATGTACATTTTAGTAGGCTCTGGGTCATATTCTGGGTCAGTTCTCAAACGTGTGCACAAAACCATAACTGGTGGTTGATTCACAAAGCAAGACTTCTGAACTAGATACCATCAGCGTAAGTGAGGGCTGTCCAATACGAATGCCCCTCATCTTTCCCCCACTGGACAGATTAAACTGTTGGTTAGCACTTTATTTCTGGCCAAAAAGATCTGAAAAGGGAATGGCATCTAACTTCAACTCCTATGTTGACAGGTGTTGGATGTACCAACAAGTTCCACAGCATTTTTTTGGGGAACTCCACTTTTTGGTATCTACTTTTACTTACATTTTCACTGGAGTAATAACACATTCGTAGCAACAGTTTTAGGCTACAGCACAGTAGCCTAGAACTTCAGACTACTCTACCAACCTACTTTTAAAAGTACGTGAAATGTGTGCACACAGTCCTAACTGGGATTATTTCACAAAGCTGGACACCATCAGTGTGAGTGAGGACTGTCCAATAGGAATGCCCCTGATCTCCCCTCCTATTGGACAGATTTGACTTGTGGCTAGCTGGCTAACTGAAATTCCGCTCCTTTTCCATCTTCCTGAGTCCTTATTTACCTGAAGCGAGTCTACTTTTACCTCAGAACGCTTTAGAGCCACGCTAACCACCTCGGTTTACTAGCACTAGCCTCTATTTTTAGCTTTGTAGCTAGCAGCGCTAGCAGAGGTGGCAGCAGCGCGAGCTCCGCGCACGTACCTGCGTTGTAGAAGCGGTCGAGCACGGACGTCTCGCCGAAGTCCAGCTTCCCGAAGAGCACGATCTCCAGCGTGCTGCCCACGGTCTCGCAGGCGTCCCTCAGGCACTGCAGGGCCATGCTCTCCGCGCCCGTCTCCGAGTTCAGCACGTAAGACACGCTGGCCCGGCGGCTGGCTGAGCTGCACTTCCCCGCCGCAGCCAGCAGCCCGTGTCCGCTCTCCGCGGGGCATCCTGTGCTGACCGCCGCCGCCGCAGGGTCGTGCCAGAACGTGCCGGCGGCTGGTACGGCTGGGCGCGAGCCCTCCTCGCGACACGGGACCGAGAGAGAGACGCCGTCGGGCTCCGAGTTCATCCTCTTAACGGGTAAAACACGGAGGAAAAGGTAATAAAAGAGAAGAAGAATAAATAACTCCTCCGGTTACCTCAGGTGGAGTTCCTTTAAACGACGACGCTCACGCGCCGGCATTCCTCCGAGCAGAAAAGAGTAAAAACGCCAAAAAAAAAAGGTTGAATTCCTTTAAAAAGCGATTCTGTTTTGATTCCGAGAGAAATATTCAACAGAAAAAGACTCTATAACGAAGTTTGGGCAGTAAAAGTTGTGAGGAAACACGAGCGCGAGCTACTGTTGCCGCTGCTGTCAGATGCCACGCGCTCGCTCGCTCGCTCGCTCGCTCCAGTCACGACTCCGCCGCGCGCGCTGCAGTTTAAAAGTGAACGGTCTCGATGCGCTCCAGCTGAGGGACTCCGCGCGCCTTTCCGTGCACCACCACCACCACGATAAGCTGAAGTTCGGGCACGAAACGGCAGCGAGGAGGCGGAGGCGGGGACAGTCCTCGGTCTGCAGAGCGCGACACCATCTTCACGAGGAAAGCTCGACGGATCCGACGCGAGGCTGCGCGAAGTTACCTCATCGCCAAACAAACAAACGAAAACAAGTCGCGAACACGCACACCCTCTCTCGTGCTCCCTGTTGCCGTGTTGGGACCCTGCCCTGCCTCTCCACTGCTATCGCTCTCACACAGACACACAGCACTCAGGCGGAAACAGGGCGGAGCTTGGGCGGTGAGATTAGCATACAGGGGAACGCCTCTTAAAGAGACATACACCTAATACAGCAAAGGCAGGCCCAGTAGGAGGAGGGGGCTTTTCTTGTGGACATTCCTTACTTGTCCGATTTAAAAGTACACCCTGTCCTGTTGAAAAAAGGACCATGAGAAGCCATTAGGATTAAAACCTAATGGTTTTGCTTTCTAATGGGAACTAATGTTTTCTAATAGAGACCACGAGTTCCCTTTAGGAAACCATCAAATGCATATAGAACCAGCCTTTTGTCACCTGTTAAACCGTTAGGATCCTTTATATTGGGACATAAACCCATTAAAAAGCCAAAACACATTACAAAAACAGAAACCAATAGAAGCACGTAATGGTTTCTATGGGATTTTTCAGCAGGGTGGACAGTGTGGGTTGTAAACATGCTCACTTGCCTTCTACAGAGATGCCACGTTTGTCTCCAGAGTAAGATTTTGCGGTATTAAGACTTGGAAAACCCCCTTCTGGTGACGTATCTTGAAGGTGGGAGGAACTTTTGAAAAACTACAGCTGCTTTGGGGTGGATTTTTATGTTTTTCAATGTTAGCTTGTGGAGGAAACAAGGCAGATGGATGTGACATCTGGTGCCTTGTGGAGTCAGCAATCTACTAATAAATGTTTCAAGCTTGAATATATGAATATAGTTCAAAAATAACAATGTAATTCTTTTTAAAGTATTTTTAGTAATATAGTTTTACATGTACATATAGGTAGCCATTAACATTCGATTTCAAATATTACTGAATAAAAGTTCATCAAACATCAACCCTATGACATGTTCAAATATATGTTTCCACATTAATAGTATATATACATTTACCATAAAACATTCATTTAAAGATAAATACAATTATTCATCTGTCTGTGAATTTTGCTTTCCACTTCATCACCCCAACCTATCTAGCTACACTGTAAAAAGTGGTTTATCAGATCTACTTAAAAAATTACTTCTTGTGGAAAAAAGTAAATTAAAAAACTGTTTTTTTTTTCAACTTAAAAAAATATATTGATTAAAACAATCATTCATTCAAAGTATTTATTTAGGCTGAATGAAACTAGTTCAAGTGCTTGTTACCACATGAAGAAAAAAAATTAAATAGACACTTTTTACAGTATATAAAAATAGCTATTACATTATATTTTATACCAAAGATGAAGTGACATAATTTAAATGGAAATTCCACCCATTTTTCCTAATTTCTGCATAATTTAACAGTCAAGATGTACTCAAAGTCATTCAGAGTGGTTTGGTGTGAAATGCTTTATTCTAGAGAAACTTGCCAAGTCAGAATTGTTCACAGTGGTGGTGATGGGAACCAGAGTTTAATGCCTCTAAAAGCTCCCTTACAGAAAGTTATCACTGAAAAAAGTTATGAATACATTGCTTGATGTCTAAAACATTGTGTTATGGCAGTTTTATGAAAAGCTAAAATGCATTTTTTACTAAGATGTACATGCAGGATGCTGTGAGGCAACACTGAATTATGCACAAATATTTTTTAAAAATGGTGGAATTCTTCTTCAGGTGTTCAGAGGAGTGTTTTTATTGATTGTTGTAATAGTTTTAATATTATTTTTCAATACTCACAGAAAAGTTAATGTTATCAACTGTTCAAGTGGGAATATATGTTTCGGATAAGAGAAATATGTAATTGGAACTATGGAAGACAAAAAAATGATTTCCTGACATGAAAAAAATTCAAATTAGCCTGTCCATTTAGCACCAACTCTAATAGTATTGCTGCTAGGACTCATTTCACGCCATATACTAAGAGTACTAACTGTTTTCAAATCATCTTTAGTGGAGAGAATGAAGAAAAACAGAAACGACTCAGATAAGGAGGACAACAAGCTAAAAGCTAAAGTTAGCAAGGTAGCAACCTCAGCTGTCTAGATGATTTACCTCAGTTTGGCTTTTTTCTCTGGTTGAAAGGGTAAAAAACTTGAATCAGTGCTCATTAAAGACTGAGTTACTGTTTTCTTTACAAATTTTGACAACTGAGGTGTTACCCTCAGACTAGCTCGTTTGTATTTGTTAGCCTATGCTTCAGTGGCTAGGCTAGCAGTCAGGATTGGCTGACACCACAGAGATTTTCAATAGTTGTATGATGTATCTGTGTAATGTGTAATGGGTACTGTGGTGAAAAAACATTGATGAATGAAAATAATATAGAACCGTGAGTTCTTTCAAACTGACAGGAGTTCCTGACTAAGTTTTAGCTTCACATAGCCAAACAAAGTGAATGTCAACTCAGGTGTTGAACGAGGCGTAGAACGGCTTACCAGTCAGCGGCTGAGCGATATGAAGAAGATCACGCAATTATAAAGGCAGAAAGCAACTCAGTAGTGTAGCGCTGGGGACACTGATGTACACCTAATTTGCAAATAGGCCATAAAGCATTAATAGATTTCGGTTTGAGTGGTGTTAGGGGGTTATTTCTTTATCTCACTCTGTTTGGTGTTAACCAGTTGCAATGTTGTTAGTGCTGAAAGGCATTTGAATGTTCTGGAGAGTTTTTGGTTCACTTGCCATAGTTGTGTTTACTAGCCAGCAGGACCAGCATGTCATGTATGAGGGCATATGTAGGATTTTGTAGTACTTTGTGACCTTGAAAAAGGACTATAGGGTCTGCTGCAGCTGGAATCTTGGTCTGGATTGGATCAAAAGCTGTTCCCAATCTGTAATCCCAAAATTAACCTGCCCCAAAGCATGTTAGGATACAGCATAGCTTGCCATGGCAGCAGATCTTGGTAAAGAGTGATCCATCATCATGAGGTTCTGGGATAAGATGGAAGTTTATAGTGAGCAGTCTAAGCAAGACATCCTGCTCTGTGAGACTCAGGTCGACACCCAAACTCTGAATATGTCCTTTTTATATAATTAGAATAGACTGTTCTAAAAGATCTATAACTAATCTTCCTCTACAGAGATACACCTGTCATGCAAGTCATGATGCTGACCTCTAGTGGTACTTCCTTGATAGTGCAACCATTTCTAGTTTCCCAGCACAGCTGCACGGCCCACTTTTGTGTTTTCTCATTGCTGATTGAATAGACATCGAGTAATTCAGAGCCTTTGAGTGGCTGGGTTTTTTTTACTGAGTTCTATATATCTTCCACCCACACACCCACATGGATAATTATCATTTTACATTCATGTCATTCATATCTACCTTGTCTGTTGATTGGCTAGATTTTCTCAAAACATCTGCACTAATACTAATTGGTGGCTGTATCAGATACATTTGACTTGAAAGTTAGAGTCTTAGTTACTGTGCTAAATGTATAAGCTCAAAGAAGTATGAGATCAAACCTTGATGAAAAACATTCCCAAAATAATGGGATTTCTTAGTTCACTACTATCTGAGGAGTCACCATGAGTTTGCTCCTATAGCCAAGATGCAGCATTGACATTAGACTGACTATTGTCTTCCTCTGAAACTGATGTGGATTGAAGGAGCTGGTTTTAAAAAATGGGAATGTTAGGGACATTACTGAACACTTTTCTGCCAAGAAAAGGAGAAGAAAGAGTGAATGGTAAGTCTGGTCTTTGTCATATTTTGGAAAAACGCATATTAAAAAGCACTGAACTGCAAAAGGCAGGGGGTTTCAGGAGCAGGACTAAAAACACAGGGCTACAGCCTTAACTAGTCACGAAATAAATATGCATTACTGTCTCTACAGATAAAATAAGTGCTCTACACAATGCTGTTTATCTGTGACAGGAATAGACTGTAATAACGCCCTGCTAAGATGAAATTAGGCCTATAATTGCCTCTTCCATTGCAATTTTAAGTCACAGTGCTGACCTCTAGTGGTACTGTTTGGCTCTAGTGTTTTGCAGTCCCTGTACAGTGCATATTTTAGTGTTTTGTACTTCAACGCTTGAGATTCAGTTGGTATAGTCTAGTGGGCAGGTTGCAAACACACCACACTATACAAATAAGAGTCCTTTGGCAAGACTCCTAACGCTACAGTTGCCTACATTTTATGAAATTGTAACACTTGCAACATTTTATTCCTTGACTGATGTCAAAATAATGGCTTATTATTTCTGAACTATGACTGCAAGGTGAAATATTGACTTATTAGGTAGAAATTTATGTCGAAATAATGGCTTATTTTGAAATTTTGACTTGTAATGTCAAAAATAATTAGTAATTATCTTGGGATTTTGACTATGTGGAAATTATTGCTAATTATCCAAAGATTTTAAAAGATTATGATGAAATAATGGCTTAGATTGTAAAATTCTGATGGATTATGTCAAATAATTAGTTATTATTGTGAGATTTTGACTGATTATATCACAATAATGAGATATTATCTTGAGATTTTGACTATGACAAAATAATGAAGTGTTTAAAAAATGAGTTATTATTTTGAGATTTTAGTCTACATCATTCAAACAGTTAGCGAACAAATAATTGTAGTTCATTACAGCACCACTCCCCAACACACACACACACACACACACACACACACAATTTCACTCAAAATCAATAAGCATTGTTTTGTGATTTGTTTTATTAAAATGATGGGAATTTTTTGTCTTTTCTTGTTTTAATTACTATTGTTTAATTACTCGAAGCCACAAATAAATTAAATTGAAGCCAGGAGTTATGAGAAACTTAAGTTGTGGCCTCAACTTATTAATTCATGGCCTCCATATGGTCACTTGTGGCCTCAATATATTAATTCGTCGGCAGGTCTTGTTAAAAACAATCACCATGTCACCTTAAGGGCTCCGTAACAGCTAAAAGTGCGTAGAAGAATAAAGGATGGGGAGCTGCCTGAGGTGACGTCACCCTTCGCTTGCTGCAGGTTTGTTTATCTCCTCGACAGGCCTACCGGTGACGTCAGATCAAACACGGTTTTTTGCAAGGATGCTCTCTCTCTCTCTCTCTCTCTCTCTCTCTCTCTCTCCTCCGCTCTCTGCGCCTGCGCGTGCTCGCAGCGCTCGCGCATCCCCCTCCTCCGAGGACCAGAGCCGAGTTTGTTCACCTGCCGAGCCGAACGCTGTCAGGAAAACGCCGGTTTTGTGTGCGCTCGCGCCTCTGTACGAGTATAAACATGCAGTTGTGCGCGCGGAGACGATGCTGATACGCTGGGCGGCGTCCGGTATTTTCTTTACAGCGCCATGAGGGAGAAAACCGTCGCGCGCCTCCTCGCGCTGCTGCCGCTGCTGCCGCTTCTGCTCTGCTTTGTGCTCTCATCGTTTCCCGTGAGCTCGCGCGCCGCGCGGTCCTCCTCTCCGCTCTCGGACCTCAAGAACAAGATCAGCGGCGTGGAGGAGCTGCTCGAGGAGTTCCGCCAGCAGCTGCAGCACGAGGAGCAGCCCTACGCGCGAGCGGGGCAGCAGGAGGAGGAGGAGGAGGAGGATGAGGAAAGGGGCGATGAAGAGCAGCAGGCCGGAGGAGGCGCGTGCCTCGGCCACTTCGACGCCGCGGAGTCGCGCATCATCCGCGCGGCCGCGTCCATCGAGCGCGGCGCCACCTTCCTGTCTGCGCCCAGCGGCGCGCGCGGCCCGGCTGACTGTCTGCGCGCGTGCTGTGCCGAGCCGCGCTGCACCGTGGCCGTGGTAGTGCACGAGGAGCGCGCGGCGCTGCGCGACGGGCCCCGCTGCTACCTCTTCAACTGTACGTACCGCGGCGCGAGCGTGTGCGCGTTCTCGCCGCAGCGCGGCTTCACCGCCTACAGCCACAACGGCACCGCCGCCGCCGCGCTGAGGAGGCCCGCCGAGGAGGAGGAGGAGGAGGACGCAGGCGGAGAGGCGTGGATGAGGGGTAAGAGAGGAGACAGTCGCCACTGATAGGCAGAATCAACACAAACAGCAAAAGCCACAGTGCTGAATTAACAAGGTGTTGGATTAAAGGGAGTAAAGGGCCCGTCTTGTATATTTTCCCCATTAGATCCACTTCGCATTTGTGTGGTTTTATGCACCAAAAAGTCATAAATCATTATTTCCATACTAATTTTCAACATTTTTATCCTTTAGAATTGAGCTGGCTGTTTTGGTTACTGTACCTTTAAGATTGGTTTATGTAAATGAGCCCAGAAAAGGATGGCATGCCCACTCCAGGTAAGGGGCAAGGACCTGCCCCAGGTGGAGGAGTTTAAGTATCTCAGGATCTTGTTCACGAGTGATGGGAAGAGGAATCGTGAGATCGGCTGCAGGCTGGGACAGGCGGCAACAGTAATGCGGTCACTGTACTGGACTGTAGTGATGAAGAGGGAGCTGAGCCATAAGGCAAAGCTCTCTGTTTACTGGTCAGTCTACATCCCAAGCCTGACCTATGGTCATGAGCTTTGAGAAATGACCAAAACAATGAGGTCACAGATACAAGCGGTGGAATTGAGCTTCCTTTGCAGGGTGGTGGGCTACACTCTACTTGATAGGGTGAGGAGCTCAGTCATCCTGGAGGACCTCAAAGTAGAGCCACTACTACTCCACATTGACAGGAGCCAGTTGAGGTGGTTCAGGCATCTGATCAGGATGCCCCTGGTCGCCTCTCGCTGGGGGTTTATCAGGCACAGCTTACTGGGACGAGACCCCGAGGTCGTCCTAGGACCTGCTGGAGGGATTATATCTCCAAGTTGGCCTGGGAATGGCTTAGGGTCCCCTGGGATCAGCTGGAGGAAGTTACAGGGGGGCAGGGATTCTCTGCTCTCCCAACTGTTACTGTGACCCATGTAAATGAGCTCTGTTCTTATTGGCTGCCCTGTATCGGGGCTCATTCAAAAGGGTGAAACACTCTTCATAACTTCAGCTAGAGCTAAACTGGTGTAGACTGAGTAGGGGCACATACACTCAGCAAGCACTTTCAAAACAAGCTCAATTGTTCATGCCGTAGAACACAGGATGTTGGAAACATTCCCTTTGAGGTTCTGGTCCATGTTGATGTGCTTGCAGATTTTTCAGGTGCAATCCCGTTCTACCAATTCTCAAAGGTGTTCCATTGGATTCAGATCCGGTGACTGGGAAGGCCACTGAAGAACACTGAAGTCATTGTCATGTTCATGAAACCAGTTTGAGACGACTTTTCCTTTTTCACAAGGTTCATTATCATGCTGGAAGTAGTCATTAGGATGTACATGGTCAGCAACAATACTCAAATAGGCTGGGGCATTCAAGCAATAATTGATTGGTGTGCCATGAAAACATACTCCACATCATTACACCACCAGTCCACCAGTCTAGACTATTGACACAAGACAGGCTGGGTGCATGGATTCATGCTGTTGGCATCAAATTCTGATCCCACCATCTGCTTCAGCAGAAATCAAGTTTCATCTGACCAGGCTGTTTTTCCAGTCCTCAGCTGTCCAGTTTTGGTGAACCTGTGCCCACTGCAGCCTCAGCTTTCTGTTCTTGGCTTATAGAAGTGGAACCTGATGTGGTATTCTGCTGTTGTAGCTCATCCACCTCAAGCTGTGCATTCTAAAGTGCTTTTCTGCTCACCACAATTGTACAGAGAGGTTATGTGAGTTACTGTAGTCTTGCTGTCAGTTCAAACCAGTATGGCCATTCGCCGTTGACCTCTCATCAACAAGGCACGTCTTTCCACAGGACTGCCACTCACTGGATGTTTTTTCTTTTAGGCACCGTTCTTAGTAAACTCTAGCGACTGTTATGTATAAAAATCCCAGGAGATCAGCAGTTGTAGAAATAGTCAAACCAGCTTGTCTGGCACCATCAATCGTGCCACGGTCAAAATAACTGAGATCACATTTTTCCTCATTCTGATGGTTGATGTGAACATTACCTGAAGCTGCTAGTTCGTACCTGCATGATTTTACGCACTGCACTGCTGCCACACGATTGGCTGGTTAGATAATTGCATGAAAGTTTTAAAATACACTCTATACCAAGACAGAGCGCAGGACGGTGTTTTCTACCCATCTTCAAAGCCACAAACAAACTTTAAAAATGGTAAGCTTTGGGTTCATCTGTGTGGTAAACTTGTGTGGTTTCCAAACACACCTGTTGTCCTCCATTTGTGAGTCATTTCAGTTTCATTACTCTTGTAGTTGGTAACATGACCTAGTTAGACTGAATAATAACCAGTGTGGCTTCACAGTGTGACCTGAAAAGAAGATGCTGAACGGATTGTTTGGCTGAGTTACTATTTTATCCATGTTATGTAGTAAGTTCACTTCTAAATCGACAAAGTCAGCAAACCCACTCAAGACCAGCAGATAGGGCTGGTGTGGCTTCAGTGCAGCACTTAGTGCAGCAGCATTTGGTCAAATTTCTTTGAGTTTGTCTTTTTTAATGCATCGAAGAAAGACCTGGCCTCCGGAACAGCCGTGTTGCTTTTTGGGATGCAGATTGTCACAAATAGCTCTTGCCATGTACTCGTAAATTTGGCCGGTACGTCATCCTGGTATCTTTGGCATACAGGAGAAATTAATGTAGGTCACATACACATATTACTTACTACTTTTGGGCAGAATCAGTAAACAAGCAGTACATAGTAAGCTAATTCAAACCCAGCCAATGAACTTAAAATGGACAGACAGCCATTTCAGGACATTTGGGGGCCGTAAGCAGCATCCCACTTAGGAGTCCCCCACCCATTTCTACTCTTTTGTGTGTAATTATCAAAAAAAAAACTATTAATTAATTTTGATGATCAGAAAATGTGAAAATCTTTGGACTGAGAGTTTTCGTACAAAGAATATTCAGAACTATTTTACAAATTACACACTCACGGCCCCCCTGGTGGCTCAGATCCTCAAGCAGCTGCTTATACCACTTATAGCAAGAGGCAGCCCTGGGAGCAGGACTGCTATTACTGAGGTAACTCCAAGTACAGCCAGTTCCAGAAGACATTAACTCCACAGTAATTACTGTCAGACTTTGAAAACTGCAGACATTTCAGATTCATACTGGATCAAAATCACTTAAATTATACTCCCTCTGCAGGTAAAACGGATCCTGCTCAAATAGCACGTTAAGCGGAATTCCACAGATTGTTCTAAATTTCATGATAATTAAATAATTGAGATGTAAACAAAGTCATTCAGGGTGGTTTTATGTGAAATGCCACATTCTAGAGAAACATACAGATTTAGAATTGTTCACAGTGGTGGTGATAGGAAGCAGACGTCTGAAGTATTATGTGTCATCACTGTAGGAACAAAACCTTGTATCTCCAAAATGGTAACTTTACAGGAGAAGGAAAAACAACTTAGAATGAGACAATATTTATTATAATAATATTTCCACTGGTCCGTTCTTGAAGAAAATTTAACACAATGCAAAGAGCAACAGGATTTTTCTAGTTATGCAACATTTTCATAAATGGCAAACATGGAAAAGTGATGATATAGTAGTATGATATAATGATATAAAAACTCAGAAGGCACATATAGGTTGCCTGGTAGTTTTGAATAGTAAATAAAATAACTGTATTTGCATTATTGCTATGTTAGGCATTGTGACCGCTGGTTCCTATCACCACCAGTTTAAAGAAATGTGACTTCTCTACAATCCACCATCTCACATCAAACCACTCTGAATGACTTTGTTTCCACCTTAACAATTGAATTATGTTAAAATGAATGGAATTTCTCTTGAATTGTCGATTCATGCATGTTCTTAACCATTAAAATCCCAGGCTTATTAAATACTAAGTCTCATAACTCTGTAACTACAGGAACTTACTGAGCTATTCTTAGGTTATAGAAGTGTGTAATAAAACTCTACACTGCCTCCTCCCACACTACTGGACCAGCTGAATTGCTGTTTAGTCAGTGGTTAATCATTTATAACACAATGCGTGATTCAGAGAGTTTCAAGGTGATTGTGCAGTGCTAGAGTGAAGTCACAGGCCTTGGCCTTAGACGTTGAATGGACTATTGAAAAGCGGAGATGCACTGATATGGGAATGCCAGTGCGGCTATCTGATACTTTTCATGTACATATCAATTCATGAACATGCATAAAATGTGGAAATTGGGACTAGATCCACCTGGAATAGCCTCACAGACAAAAGGACCATTTATTCTGAAGGGCTACAAATGCAGTAAAATGAATGTAGTAACCCAGCGTCACGTAAACATTCAGCTCTTCCAGGGTGTGATAAATATGTCATCGAATCTTGGGTTTAATTATCTGAACATCTGTCCAATGTCTATCATTTTTTAAAGGGCCCGTAACCTGGATTTTCCTTGTACTTAATTTTTTTCCTGAGTTCAACTTATAGCCATCCTCTTATCCCAGAGTCTGCTCTCCTGCTCTCATTGCTTTGACAGTCGGATTAGGGATGAATTCTGTACTTTTGCCATTGTGTTGCAAATGGTTCACTATTGACACCTGACATTGACTGATGACTGACTTATGCGATCTAACTATTTATGTCAAGATCTTGTATGCTTTAGCTTGACAATGAATACAGGTGAGCAAACATTAGCAGTAATGTTGAGATACATCTTCTGTGCCTACAAGTGCTTTTCCATCTAGATTGGAACAACTTGTGTTGCAATGAAGTTAACTTAAGCAGTTGTTAAGACAAAAATGCTACTACATTTGAAAGATATTTTAAATATAACTCAAACTAGCAGGGAAATATGGGTAACTGTTCAGTCAACATTTAAAATATGTTTTAGCATTTGCTTAAGTTAACTTCATGATATAACTTCATGCTGCAATTAAAATGCAATGCAAAGTATATTTCAGTATCACTAATTACACTTAAATACGCTTAACATATAAAGCATATTTAAGTGTACTTTTATGAAACTTATTTAAGTATACACTCAAATATATTGTTTGGAATAACTAAACACAAGTACATACTTAAATACATTTAAGTAATGTTGAAATATGTCTTTTCTGGTCTAAATCGGACCAACTTATGTTGCAATGAAGTCAATTTAAGTAGTTGTTAAGACACAACTCTGCTACACGTTTAACATATTTAAATGCAGAGTAATACTCGTATTTGATTGCTACATTTGAGGTATATTGCAACTGAAATGTACTAAGGCATATTTTAAAAGTCATTGCTGTAAAATAGGCCTCCAAATAACACACTTAAGTTGATGACAATTATATATGCTATTGTTTAAGTATGCTTCAGTATATTAAGAAATCTATTTATTCAAGTGCATTTGTTATTTTAAAATATTATTTTATTTTAAAATACAAAATTACCAAAAGGTATATTTATATTTCCATACAAAATGCATTAAATTTGCTCTGGGTACTTAAGTATGCCTCTTTTTCACACAGGTCATGATGTTCCATAATTCTTTGTGCACTGTGGGTTAAAGATCATGAAGAGTAGTTGTCATTGTTATTTAATAAGCACGTCTGTTGTGAATGAAACGTTAACTGATGATTTTGTGAGACAAGCTTCTGTCACAGTCATTAGGCAGCAGCAGTAAATCGAAACCACACAGCTTTGTGAACGAAGGCTTGTAGTGACTGTCTGCTTCTAAAGATAGACTGATCATACGACTTCTGTGTTTAGCAAGTGAGACCAAGTCAGGCCAAGTCAGGCAAAATTATTTTTATTTTCTATTAATATTAGCCCATTTTACAATGCACTGCGCTACAATCCCCAGCATGCTAAGCAACATAATATGTGCTCCCACCCCCAAACTCCAACAACAATGTAGGGGACAGCAGTTATGGCACAAAAAGAAAAGATGCCAGGTGTCTAGTTCAAGCAAAATAGGCAAATATATGCCTCCTGGGGACATTTAAAGAGGTTTAAGAGCTGTATATGTATAATGTTGTAATAGATCACATACTCATGTAATATTTAAAGGTCTACTACAAATACATTGTAGTTTTGACAAATTTAAAACATTCATAGCAAAATTTGACACATCTGGTTTAGACTGATGGTAGCGGGAAAAAAGGTCACTGAAAGATCTTAGCCAGGGTGTTCACATTGTCAGCGTTATCCCACCAGACGCATTCAATAATTATGATCAAATATTGATTACTTGCAAGAATAAAATGTCATATTTATATCAAGCTCAGTGGATGTTCTTGCAAAGTGGCAGTGATTTATGTGCATATTTTCAGCGCAAGTCCTCAGCCATTTTGGATAAATGGTTAAAAGGGTCTTTCAAAAGGATCTTGAGGCTGGTGAAGCAGCCACCGTGTCTCAAACTGAGAAAACGCAGAAAACCAATCACATAACAAAATGAAGAAAATACAGCAGTGAGTATCATGCGCTGGGCTTCATGTGGGGGAGAACTGAAAACGGGTAACTACCAGTCTGTGCTGTTAGCTCAGAGGTCTTTTTAACTGAGGCTTTAAAACCCAACAATTTACACCATCGCTTGGAGACTAAACACTGTTTGCAGCTCTCCTTTCTTCAAGCCTGACATCAAGCACTCGGTAGCAGCTCTCATTAGGTGGCTCAAAAAAAGTTCAGCTTGGTTAAATCTTATTGTGGACCACAGAAGCTTTTGTGGTCGTCTGTGTGGGCCACAAGTTGCAAAAGATTAGAAACCCCTGGTGTAGACTGATGGAGACATGGTTAAAAGACAGTATCGAAGTTTAAGTTGTCAGTAGTTGTGGTACATATTAATATAAAAACAATGCACGTTGGCAGTTTCACAAGGGGTAATTCTTGCATCCCCGCCCCAAGCCAATATTTGTAATTTGGTAGATAATACAGTCCCACAAGTAGACATACATTACAGTGAGTAGCAATCTAGTTTCTATAGGCTATGCTAGGTTACCAGTTACTTTAAAATGCTATAGTAAAATCTTATCGCTGTTGTCGGAAGAAAACCTAGTATCTCCGAAATGTTAACTTTACAGGAGAAGGAAAAAACATACTTTAATTTTAATGTAAGTCAATGGAACCAGACCTTTTTCCAAGTAATTTCAGGCCGTTTCTTTTGGTCCATTCATCATGAAATTTACACACAATGTAAAGAATAACAGGTGTTTTCAAATTATGTCAAAAACTTAAAAACGTCAAAAATGGAGATACAAGGTTTTCTTCTGACAGCAGCGTTATTTTTTTAAATGAAAAATATTTTGTTGTATTTTTAAGATTGATTTATTTTTATTATATCTAATTTAATTGATCGATCCGATGAGTCTGGATCAGGGTTGTTAGGAGTGACACTGATGTTTGTTTTTAACCAGAGCTGGACGAACCCCCACGTGGCGATGCTGGACAGGATGTGATGGTCCAGCTGCCTACCGACTGGGCCATACTGGATGGCAGGGACAGCATTGATGACCACGGCATCATGCGATACGAATGGGCACTCGTTAAAGGAGATTCCTCCGTCAACATGAAGGTAAATATTCAGGAGTACACAGTAAAACCTGGGTGTGTTTACTCAAGGCATGCAGCAATGGGGAATTTTTAGGCCAATAACAATGTTGTTGCTGATACCGACACTAATAACCAGTCATATTAACTGTTAGTTAATTATTAATTTTACAGTTACACTGGAATATGTTTATGAAGTGCAAATACACTTTGAAACTTTAAAGATACTAGTTGCTCATGCTAGCTGCCTCATATTCATTAGGCTTTATGGATTTGTGGTGTTGAAAGTCTTTAATGAGTTTCCATCTTGTTGTACCTTAGTTAAACAACTGTTGCAGACTTCAGTTCTGGAAGTGGTGAAAAATGTATCAGATGTAATTCTAACGCTACACAAGTAATAATAAATAAAATTTTCCGTGTTCTGCAACGAATATATCAGATGCCAGCAGGTATTCTGTTTTAGACTCTTCAAAGTAGCCCCCCCACCTTTGCCTTAAAGCAAAAAAAAGCTGACTGCTGATTTTAAATGTTAAATTTTCTCATTTTGCAAATACCAGAAATGTTTTTTAATGGTAAGCTGCTCTTGGATGGCTTATTTTGGTTATATAGACTGATATTTCTGTCAAAGGTTTACCTTGTGCAGAGTTCACATTATTTTTCATTGAAAACACAGGCTTTCTTAGTACGTCCAAAAAAAAGATATTTATGGGGGGGTTATGTAGGAGCTTAGATTTGTACGTCACAATAGGCTTCAATCTATCATGGGCCAATACACTAAATTTGCTGAAATGTTCTTAGCACTGCAGAACATGCTTGCGCTACTTGTTTGAGATGTTTGGACTGTGTGCAGTGAGCTGCAAGCTAAAATACAAACAGAGGCATTATAAAGGAGGAGACAGGTCGCTGGTTGGAACATGAACAGGAAAACTCTGAACTCTCAACATGCTGTCTGTTTGCAGAGAAAGTCCTCCTCTTCAGTAAAAAGGGCCAGTCAGCTTGCTGGTTAAGCCACTAACTGGAAAAGCCACCCGTAGTTGTGGACATCTGTGCAAGTGCAATAGCCAGAAGAGCCCCAAAAAACTGTTTTTTGTTGGTTACTGAACAGATTTTTGTCAGATTTTACCAGTGATTTCAAATATGTAACAGTTATTTGGCCTTCAGTTTTGATGATCTCTCGTAATTAAAGCTGAAAAGTTTGGGGAAAATATGTAATTGCGATTTTTTCGTACTAATATTGCGGCTCCGATTTAAATTGTGATTATTTTCTACAAATTAAGGTTCATACTGCCAGTAAGTTGTGGTTGTGATGTCACAACACATGGAGGTTTGGTTGCCTCTGATTGGTCTAACTTATCTTCAGGCAGTTCACAAACTCTGTGTTATTAAGTTAAATTAGGTTCCCCACTTAAGACATCACTGTTGATAATGTAGACTATAATTTAATTGCAATTTCAATATAAAAATGATGAACCTTTCAGCCTGGTCTTGTATGAGTGGAAATACAGTGGGGCAAAAAAGTATTTAGTCAGCCACTGATTGTGCAAGTTCTCCTACTTAGAAAGGTGAGAGAGGTCTGTAATTTTCATCATAGGTACACCTCAACTATGAGAGACAAAATGAGAAAAAAATCCCGGAAATCACTTTGTAGGATTTTTAAAGAATTTATTAGTAAATTATGGTGGAAAATAAGTATTTGGTCACCCACAAACAAGCAAGATTTCTGACTCTCACAGACCTGTAACTTCTTCTTTAAGAAGCTCTTCTGTCCTCCACTCGTTACCTGTATTAATGGCACCTGTTTGACCTCGTTATCTGTATAAAAGACACCTGTCCACAGCCTCAAACAGTCAGACTCCAAACTCAACCATGGCCAAGACCAAAGAGCTGTCGAAGGACACCAGGAAGAAAATTGTAGACCTGCACCAGGCTGGGAAGAGTGAATCTACAATAGGCAAGCAGGTTGGTGTGAATAAATCAACTGTGGGAGCAATTGTAAGAAAATGGAAGACATACAAGACCATTGATAATCTCCCTCGATCTGGGGCTCCACGCAAGATCTCATCCCGTGGGGTCAAAATGATCATGAGAACAGTGAGCAAAAATCCCAGAACTACACGGAGGGACCTGATGAATGACCTGCAGAGAGCTGGGACCAAAGTAACAAAGGCTACCATCAGTAACACACTACGCCGAGAAGGACTCAAATCCTGCAGTGTCAGGCGTGTCCCCCTGTTTAAGCCAGTACATGTCCAGGCCCGTCTGAAGTTTGCCAGAGAGCATATGGATGATCCAGAAGAGGATTGGGAGAATATCATGTGGTCAGATGAAACCAAAATAGAACTTTTTGGTAAAAACTCAACTCGTCGTGTTTGGAGGAAGAAGAATGCTGACTTTCATCCCAAGAACACCATACCTACTGTGAAGCATGGGGGTGGAAACATCATGCTTTGGGGCTGTTTTTTTGGGACAGGACGACTGATCCGTGTTAAGGGAAGAATGAACGGGGCCATGTATCGTGAGATTTTAAGCCAAAACCTCTTTCCATCAGCGAGAGCATTGAAGATGGAACGTGGCTGGGTCTTCCAGCATGACAATGATCCCAAACACACCGCTCGGGCAACAAAGGAGTGGCTCCGTAAAAAGCATTTCAAGGTCCTGGACTGGCCTAGCCAGTCTCCAGACCTCAACCCCATAGAAAATTTGTGGAAGGAGTTGAAAGTCCGTGTTACCCAGCGACAGCCCCAAAACATCACTCTAGAGGAGATCTGCATGGAGGAATGGGCCAAAATACCAGCTACAGTGTGTGCAAACCTGGTGAAGACTTACAGGAAACGTTTGACCTCTGTCATTGCCAACAAAGGTTATGTTACAAAGTATTGAGTTGAACTTTTGTTATTGACCAAATACTTATTTTCCACCATAATTTACAAATAAATTCTTTAAAAATCCTACAAAGTGATTTCCTGGATTTTTTTTCTCATTTTGTCTCTCATAGTTGAAGTGTACCTATGATGAAAATTACAGACCTCTCTCACCTTTCTGAGTAGGAGAACTTGCACAATCAGTGGCTGACTAAATACTTTTTTGCCCCACTGTAACTGCCCGGTGGCTTTGCCAAGATGGCCGCTAAGTGGACAGACTTTCCTAAAAGGACTTTGCTACAAATTGACGCTCAGCAGAGGCCTGTTGACGAGGCAGAGGAGGCGTGGCGTATGACGCAGTGCTCATTCACTACATCAAGATAAAGACTGATTTTTCCTGTGAGTCTCGTCCACTGTGGTCAAGAGTACAGAGAAAGAGAACTGATTGCTGTGTTTGCTGGATGGTAGATATTATCAGGATCTAAATTAGCAGATAAACACTGGAGGAACACACACACAGAGCCAGAGAGACACCAGCAATATTGCCTCGTTGCCTACCAACCCCCCATCCTCACAGAAAATGGCCGGAGAGTCTGGTGTAATTGTGTTTGTGAGAGAGGGCTTTCCTGTCCACCTGCTCAGCAGCACAATAGAGGTATTGTGAAGCTTCAGTGTGTTCACACAGACAGAGCAGATATCAGACATACTACTAGCGCAGATACAGCACACAGTGTGCCTTTAAAATATGCCACAATCGCAATATGGGCTCACAATGCATCTGAAATTAGCTATATACACTGATCAGGCATAACATTATGACCGCCTCCTTGTTTCTATGCTCATTGTCCATTTTATCAGCTCCACTTACTATATAGATGCACTTTGTAGTTCTACAGTTACAGACTGTAGTCCATCTGTTTCTCTGCACACTTTGTTAGCCCCCTTTTACCGTGTTCTTCAGTGGTCAGGACCCCCATGGACCCTCACAGAGCAGGTACTATTTGGGTGGTGGATCATTCTCAGCACTGCAGTAACACTGAAGCGGTGATGGTGTGTTAGTGTGTGTTGCACTGGTCTGAGTGGATCAGACACAGCGGTGCTGCTGGAGTTTTTAAACACTGTGTCCACTCACTGTCCACTCTATTAGACACTCCTACCTTGTCAGTCCACCTTGTAGATGTAAAGTCAGAGACGAAAGCTCATCTGCTGCTGCACAGTTTGTGTTGGTCATCTTCTAGTCCTTCATCAGTGGTCACAGGACGCTGCCCACAGGACGCTGTTGGCTGGATATTTTTGGTTGGTGGACTATTCTCAGTCCAGCAGTGACACTGAGGTGTTTAAAAACTCCAGCAGTACTGCTGTGTCTGATCCACTTGTACCAGCACAACACACACTAACACACCACCACCACATCAGTGTTACTGCAGTGCTGAGAATGATCCACCACCCAAATAGTACCTGCTCTGTGAGGGTCCATGGGGGTCCTGACCACTGAAGAACAGGGTAAAAGGGGGCTACCAAAGTATGCAGAGAAACAGATGGACTACAGTCTGTAACTGTAGAACTACAAAGTGCACCTATATAGTAAGTGGAGCTGATAAAATGGACAATGAGCGTAGAAACAAGGAGGTGGTCATAATGTTATGCCTGATCAGTGTATAAGATCAGGCAAACTGCTAAAGGACCAGGACCATGGCTGTTTTTGGACATTTGAGGGTCCTACGCAGGGTCCTACTGAATTCAGTTTGATTAGGAAAACACAACAAAACAACATTTGGTAACACTGACATGAATATGTCATAAACCTGTTGTGGCACATGCTGTCATGTGTTGTCTTAACAGATTTTGTCCAGTAATATAATAGTGTCATGTTGCCATTACTGGTAAATGTCATGACACATGTCATAATGTTTGATGTAATGAAGGGCTAACTAGAGTACACAGCAATAATTAGCGTGTGACACAAGCTGTCCTGCCAAACATTATGACCTATTGCATGACAATTAAGGTTGGCTTTACACGGTGAAACTAGTTGCATGTTGTGAGTTGCCTGCAATATAACGCTGCTCATATCTCCAAAATGGTAACTTTACAGGAAAAGGAAAAACATACTTTATTTTTAATGTAAGTCAGTGTAACCAGACTTTTTTTGGAGTCATTTTAGGCCATTGGTCCATTTATCATGAAATTTACACACCATGAATAGAGAAAAAAATAATTAACGCTACATTTCATATCAAATCAGCATTATATATAAAAAGTCAGAAGACGCATGTAGCTTCACTGGTCAGTGTGCATAGTAAATAAAAGGGTTTTATTTGCATTGTGGATATTGTGTTCCGTATCACCACCACTCTAAAGAACACTGAGTCAGTAAGTTTCTCTGAAACAGAGCATTTCACATCAAACCACTCTGAATGACTTTATTAACATCCCAGAGACTGAATTATGAAGATTTAGAAATGAGTCGACACAAAGCACTTTAACTGTGGATCAGGAATGACGTGAGATCTGAGTGTAAGGAGAGTTCTGTCATGAGGGGAAAATGTTTCAGTTGAAAAAGCTGAACTTAACACATAAAAGTCTAGAGTTAGATTATTGTATTGATATTGTTAAATCAATTCATAACAGTGTATCTCTTCTTCTACCCATGAACACAGTTGTGGTATTGATCTGTACTTCCAGCGGGAGTTTTCCTTGTTTCCATGAGCTTTGAGTGAGAAATGATTGACATAAATTGCAACATGCTTTTGCTAATAAATTTGCCCACACAGTCTTTCACAGAGTGGTGAACCCCTCCCCATCTTTACTTCTGAAAGACTCAGCCTCTCTGAGATGCTCCTTTTATACCCAGTCATGTCACTGACCTTTTTCCAATTAACCACTGGGTGTTTCTGTTAGCATTACACAACTTTACCAGACTTTTGTTGTCCCATCCCAACTTTTTTCAATTAAAGATAGGATTTAAATGATGTGCACTCTCTTATATACAAAATGTTTTTATTTACATTTTGTATATAAATTATACAAATATATATTTGTGTATAAATTAACAAAACTTAACCATGTAGTTGCACACTGCAGGCAGCCATTTCAGACAACAGGTGTTGTGCCATGTTGTGTTCTTAACATCATGCAGGTGTATGAATGCCACAGATTACGTTAGACATGTTTGTTGTTTCTATTTGTAAATAACTGTTTATCTTGAATTTGCAAACTGAAGATACACTATATTGCCAAAAGTATTCGCTCGTCTGTCTTCACACGCATATGAACTTGAGTGACATCCCATTCTTAATCCATAGGGTTTAATATGATGTCGGCCCACCCTTTGCTGCTATAACAGCTCCAGCTCTTCTGGGAAGGCTTTCCACAAGGGTTAGGAGTGTTTATGGGAATTTTTGACCATTCTTCCAGAAGCGCATTTGTGAGGTCAGGCAGTGACGTTGGACGAGAAGGCCTGGCTCGCAGTCTCCACTCTAATTCATCCCAAAGGTGTTCTATCGGGTTGAGGTCAGGGCTCTGTACAGGCTAGTCAAGTTCTTCCACACTAAACTCGCTCATCCATGTCTTTATGGACCTTGCTTTGTGCACTGTTGCGCAGTCATGTTGGAACAGGAAGGGGCCATTCCCAAACTGTTCCCACAAAGTTGGATGCATGAAATTGTCCAAAATCTCTTGGTCTGCTGAAGCATTAAGAGTTCCTTTCACTGGAACTAAGGGGCCGAGCCCAACTCCTGAAAAACAATCCCCACACCATAATCCCCCTCCACCAAACTTTACACTTGGCACAATGCAGTCAGGTGTACACTTGGTGATGTAAGGCTTGGATGCAGCTGCTCGGCCATGGAAACCCATTCCGCGAAGCTCTCTACGCTGTTCTTGAGCTAATCTGAAGGCCACATGAAGTTTGGAGGTCTGTAGCAATTGACTCTGCAGAAAGTTGGCGACCTTTGTGCACTATGCGCCTCAGCATCCGCTGACCCCGCTCTGTTATTTTACGTGGCCTAATACTTCGCAGCTGAGTTTCTGTCGTTGCCAATCACTTCCACTTTGTTATAACACCACTGACAGTTGACTGTGGAATATTTAGTAGCAAGGAAATTTCACGACTGGACTTGTGGCACAGGTGGCATCCAATCACGGCACCACGCTGGAATTCATTGAGCTCCTGAGAGCGACCCATTCTTTCACAAATGTTTGTAGAAGCAGTCTGCATGCCTAGGTGCTTGATTTTATACACCTGTGGCCATAGAAGTGATAGGAAAACCTGAATTCAATGATTTGGATGGATGAGTGAATACTTTTGGCAGTATAGTGTACATGTTTATAACTAGAAACAGTAGAAATCATGAATGTAATGTAGTGTTCGTATGCTTTCATGACGTGTAAATATGAATGGGAGTTGGATTCTGCAGGGGAAGGTGGAAATTGACACAACACAGGTTGTCTGCCGGTTGTCTGCCTGCTGTGTTCGACTACTTGGTGAAGTTTTGTTCATTTTTATATTACAAAGTCATACTGTCCTCTAAACCACATTGACAAGCCTGTGGTTTGAGTGAGTTTCAAGAAGTTTTGTGGTTATATTTACAGAAAAGATTTGGGTGACTATTGACTTTCAGTTTTTGTTAGCCTCATAGCTCCAGCACTAACCTAAAACAATCAAAGTTTGGACACCAAGCATGTCTTGGCTGATCCATTTTTCGCCAAACTATTCTGACCAAGCTATGTGTAAAACAGACTGGTTTCTTTAGAATGTATCTCTTTAATTTATTCTATAAGGATACATAACAAGCACATAAGAAAAGATAAAATAAGTTTTGTTGTACTGACCAGGGGTCATTGGACTCTACAGTGTGTGTAGTGATAACTTGTACAGAGTTCAGTCTTGACATTTAAAGACTGGTGGCCTACACAGTACAATCTGAAGTGATAAACAGAGTCGTACAGTGTTGAAGGAGGTCAAGGTACCAGCTAAAGGCATATTTGCCGCTCACGCAGGTGACTCACCCAGGTCTGCTGAAGCTGAGCGGACTCAGAGAGGGCGTCTACACCTTCCAGATGACCGTCACTGACACCATCGGACAGAGGAGTTCGGATAACGTCTCTGTCACTGTACTGGCACCCGAGCATCATGCAGAAGGTTCAAATCGCTCTTCCCTGTACTTTTGCTTTGTGTTCCATGTCTTCAGCTGTCTCTCTCTTCTCTTCTTTACAGTTGCCAGTTTATTAGAAACACATACCTTGTACCAGCACATTTTGGCCACTTTATCAGAAACACCATCTATATTGGTCAACCATATAAGTGTACAGTTACAGACTGTATCCCACCTGTTGCTGCACAATTTGTTAGCCACCCTCTACCCTGTCCATCAATGGAGAGGGACCATATTATGTGGATGGTGGGCAGTGACACTGACATGGTAGGGTGCATGGGGCTGGTAGGAGTGTGTCACTGCTAGGCCAAGAGTGGTCTTCCACCCAAAAATATCCAGCCAGGATATAGTGGTCAAAAACTGACCATTGGAGATGGGCTTGAGGATGGCCAATACTAACTGAGCATGGAAGAAGAGTCTGTAAATGTATACCTACAACGTGAAGCCACAAGATAGGTTGGTCTAATAAAGTGACCAAGAAGTACATACACTCATTGGCCATTTTATTAAATCAACCTCTACCATCAGTAGATAGTGTTCTTATGGCACTCGACAAACCCAGATTTGTCCAACCGACTGCCAGGTCAGTCTTTCAGTGTAGGCAGTAGCCAGGTGGTGCAACCTGTTTCATCACTCCGGGGAATGCGTTTCAAGAGTCCATTGACAGCATGCTTAACGCCACTCCAGCCAACGCTTGGCATTGTGCATAGGGATCTTAGGCTTCAGTGCAGCTGCTCAGCCATGGAAACCCATTTCATTAAGCTTTGGCATGTTTGCATATTCTTAATCATGTGTGTGTAAATTCAAATCTTGTGTTTTACTGCAGTATGTACTCGTCACTGCTCGCGGTATCAGTTCATGTGTGACGACGGCTGCTGTATCGACATTAGTTACGCATGTGATGGCAAGCAGCAATGTCCTGACCGCTCAGATGAAGACTTCTGCAGGAACTGTGAGTTTGAGTCAGTAGAGCATTAGAGTAGGCGAGTGACCCATAACATATAGTCTGACCATGTTTCTGGATTAGTTTGAATAGCCACTTACATGCTTAACATATCACTGTGTTGAGCATACGGAATTTACTTAATGCCTCCTAATGCTAATACTAAACTAGTACTGTAATTTGGAGCTCTGCTGAAATGTACTGTAATCTTTAATGTTTAATGTAAATAGGGACTACAATGTGACTGAAACCTTCTGTACTGAATGGCATTTTGTTGTGCGTGTTTCTCAATGGCAAAGTCGATGGAGGTCGTAAGGCCGTGACTCACACGTCCAGTGCTCCCTCTCAGATTGGAGAAGCACGAGAATCAGAGGGCCGAGCCATGATCCCTGCAGAACCACGCAATACAGAGACCCCTGTCCAGAGCAAACAACAACAGCCTTCAGTCAGCCAAGGTAAGAACACCAGCTTCATAGCAGGCTTAAGGCCTGTTCACACCCGTCTGAAAAAAATGCACATAATTCATTATTTCACACAGATTCAACGTCTGACCTCTGCCAGAAAATAAAAGCTTTATAAAGTTTTTTTTTTAGATTTTTACTCCATTTAAACTACAACTGCTTTTGTTAGTTTACTAACTGACTTTGGTTAATGATCATGAAGTCACATATCTTTAGATTCATTGGGTTATTTTTAATATTTGAAATCAACTTAACACCTCATTTAAATGAACTGAGCCCAGCACATTCAGATGCCTTTGCACTACTAATAGACAAGTAAAACTAAACATGTGATCACCCTCAGATTGCCAAGCACACAGAAGCAATTCACACATCCACACGAAAAAAACAGCAGACAACCTTTTCAAATATCTCTACCCTGGAGAGCATTTTCAAAACCTGTTTTCAGTGACCTAAAACGCTAGTTTTGTGACCACGGAAGGCTGAAATGCAGAGAGAAAAGTAAGATTTTGCAGATTCATGTGGACAGAATTTAAGTTACTCATGCAAAGATAAAGGCCAAAGTTTTGAATTTATGGAAGCTTCCATTTATTTATTGTATATCGCAGTGATAAGGAACCTGAACACTGCAATGTTCAAAATTTGCTACTGCAACAGCTCTAATCTAGTCTAGAAAGCTTAGAAACACCCACCCAAACACATGCAATCTTACAATACTGCCAAGGCAACGCAGCCCAGAAGCCCCAAATCATAGACAAATGCTCTATTAAAAGCGGTATCAAAGCTAGCAAGGGAACAATCAGCACATATGGTCATAAATACGAATTTCCTACTGTCTTTTGTCTCTATGCAGCTAGCAATAAAGGAGGGTTTGAAAAGTAGCACACTGACTACATACCCCACAGAGGGCTGGAACACTGTCAGTTAATGCGTGGGCTGAGAAGATTCTGTATAGAGGCAGAACAGTCTAATTAGAAGGGGGTTTACCTCGGAGGAGAGTTTCCATCTCCCTCTCTTTCTCTCTGTGGAAAACAAAGCTCTTCTGTGTTCTGTTACCTGATCCTGCACTGAGCTTAGAGCCGCCACACATTCAAAAGGCATCTAGACTCTGAGATTCTCTCCCCGTCCTCTTTTCGCTCTTATTGACTTGTTTATTTTCTTATTTATTTCGTTTTATTTCACAGGGACAGTACTGAGAAGAATGCTTGCATGAAGATACAACTTAGAGTATTGTGCAAAAGTCAAAGATCACGCATTTGTTAGTTTAGTTTCAGTCAGAATGGCCAATAAGTACACATTATTCATTTTTCAAGTAATTCAAGTACACAAAAGCCTAAAAATTAAGTGTAATATCAAATCTACAAGTATTTAATTCGGCCACTCCTTACTTATGTGCACCGACTGCCGGTTTAACCCATTAAAATCCCAGGCATGTTACATACTAAGGCTTATTATTCAGTAACTACAGGTGCTTCAATGCAAACTGGTTGAGCTGTTCTTAGGTTATAGAAGTGTGTAATAAAACTTTGGGCCTAAATCTTCCATCTTTCAATCTTAAAACCAGTTACAGCTTTGTCCTCCAAATCTGCATCTAAAATGGCTAAAGGAAGTATTTCTGAGGATATTAGATATATGATAATCCATTTGCATAAGCAAAGTAAGTAAGGTATAGAGAAAAATGGGCTAGTGACCAACTGTCCAAGACCTGGAAGACCACCAAAACTGTCAGTTAAACAGTACTTACAGCTTTCACATTTGAGAGAGAGGATCAAATCGAGCTCCACTCTTGCTTAAGATCTGAAGAAATCCACAGATGTTTCTGTCTATCCTTCCAGCGTGAGAAGCATATGAGTCTGAAAGGATGTTTAGCTGTCAAGAAGCTCTTACTGAGAAAAGGAAAAAGACAAAAAAGAAGAATATTTGCGCTAGGACACTGAAACTGGACATCTGAGATGTGGACTGGTTTTAGGGATTGATGATAATTGGGATAATTTGGATCTTAAGAAGCAGAAAATGTGACCAACTTCTAAGACTGAACTTAGGAGGTGTGGAAAAATATCCCTGCAGATTTCCTTCAAAAACTGAAGGCAAGATTGGAGGCTGTGATAAAGGCAATGATGGACACACAAAATATTGAAAAATGTCTTATATTTAGTTGTTGAGGCTTCTGTGTAATTTTTTCTTTGGCACAGTGCTGTATGTGATGTAAAGGGGTTCACTAATTGGCAGCCCCCTATGCCTGGTTAGGCTTTTTTCCCCCTTTCCCTCTCTTACACACTTAGACGCATTAATACACTCCACCTTTTCTTTCTCTTTCTCTCTTTTTCCTTTCTCCCTCTCTAAGGTCCCTGTATGGAGCCCCCCATGGTTGGCCCATGTAGAGGTGTTTTCCCACGCTGGTATTATGACCCTGCAGCCGGAGAGTGCAAGCACTTCTTGTATGGGGGCTGCAAAGGAAACCGTAACAACTTCCTGCAGCAGGTGGACTGTGTGGCTGAGTGCATCCAGAAACCCGGTGAGGGCACCACATGAAAAACGTTTGGATAATTCCTCCATTTTCCGAAGACTGAGTGACGCTTTTAGTGTAACTGATGCAAATGTCAATGTCTTACAGCTCCAGTAGATCAGCAAGCCACTGCGGCACCTCCCCCTACAACTCAGACAAATACAGGTACGACCCTTCTGCTATATGTTCCTCAATCCATACATTCCATATTTTTGCACCCATTTCCAATTTGGCATAACTTTCTTACAACAGTAATTACTTTTTTATGAGCGCTGCACACATTGCTAGGGGTGTAGCAATTCACAATATTCCTAATTTAGTATGATTTGATGGTGTCTTGATTTTTCAATATGGCAGTACATGTTTATTATAGCTATATAAGTGGAACAAGTAAGCTTCACCACCATGTTTTGATTGCTTTCAATAAATCATTTTTTTAAAATAATTCAGTAAGATCGCATTATTTGGTGTAGTTCATTCTGATTATTTCAGATTTCTTTGCCCAAATTTAACCCTAAAGAAAGTGTTTTACATTTAAAATGCTGTATATTTTTATTATAGCTACATAAGTGAAACAAAAAAAGCTTCACCACTATGTTATTATTGCTTTCAATACGTCACTTTTTAAAAATAATTCAGTAACATCGAGTAATATTGTGATTAATCGCATTGTTTGGTGTAGTTCATTGCGATTAATCATATTTGCCCAAATTTAACCCTAAAGAAAGAGTTTTACATTTGAAAAGCAGTACTTTTTATTACAGCTATATAAGTGGAACAAGTAAGCTTCACCACTGTGTTTTTATTTCTCTCAGTAAGTCATTTTTTAAAATAATTCAGTAACATCGAGTAATAGTGTGATTAATTGCATTGTTTGGTGTACTTCATTGCGATTAATCGTATTTTTGCTCAAATTTAACCTAAAAAAAATACTTTTCATTTGAAAAGCAGTACTTTTTATTATAGGTATATAAGCAGAACAAGTCAGGATGTTTTCATTGCTTTCAGTAATTCAGTAACATTAATGTCATCATGTGAATGCAGAGTTTACATGAACCTAAACATGCATTTCCAACTATTCTGCGATTATACCTCTGTCGATCTCGTATGTCATGCTATGTCTTGTTTCAAGGGGAACTAGAGCTTTGTACTTTGATGTTGCTTTTGTTAGTTTACTGCTTCTCAATTATTTCTCCCACAAGCACTGTCCAGCACAGGCATCGCCCAGTACTAACATTGCTGATATTACTAGTATTGGGCCTCATTCACCAACTGTTCTAAAGAAGAAATTTCTTCTTAAAACCCACTTACGCAGTTTTCACGAAGATTCTGACATTGACCAGTGTTTTCTTATTTGAGGTTTGTTCTTAGGTGACAACAGAATCTACACACATTCGGGAGCACAAAGGTGTGAAGAAGGGTTAAGAACACATCATGAATCTGACTTAGACTTTTTCCTAGGACCTTTCTCAAGAACAAATTTAAGAAAAAACTTGTGAAGATATTGGTAAATGAGGCCCATTGTCTGCATCAGCTGTTTGCTTGTAAGTGAAACCTCATACTCAGTGTACTTCGGTGATAAACAAATTCACAGCGTTGCAGTAGATGGAAATAACTACTTTTATCAAGAGATTCACCCAGGGAAGTTCTCACAATTTAAAAGCTGTATTTAAAGCACAGTTGTGGAGTCATATCAACATCACTCCAGCAGCTGGGCTTCACGCTGGAACAACAGATGGCTCAAAGAGTCGAACTGGAAAATTAATAGGGTTAAATTTGTGGCATTAATAATTTATTGCTGGAAAGTGTTACTAACATGTTAACTTTCACACCACCATTTAAGATACAATACAGTCCAGTATGTACATTGTGTTGTTACACCTCTACACAGTCTTTATTACTAATCTAGACATTTCATTCCTTATTAACAAATAACAAATTATGCTTTTAAATGAATAGTTCAGCTAAAAATGTACAGTCTTAATCTCAAATGTCACTGATGGTGTCTGAAATTTTCTTTTTTAGTTTTGCACTGGAGCTGTGAGGCTAATGTAGGTAACATATAATGGAAGCATGTAACCTAATTAGCATCAAGCAGATTAAAGGCCTACACTTGCCTCAAATTGTAGTGAACTGTTAAGTAATCTCAAGGGGCCTATTTACACTTAGCCACTTCATGCATCTTGGGCTGATTGGATAGCTGTCTGATCATGAAAAGGCCAGAGAAGACAATAAGATGCATTAGAAACAAACAGCTATCTGATCCCTCAAACCAGTTCAGGATGTGGTTTGAGATGGATTGGAGAACATTATTTCATTCCACTGTATTCTTTTAGTTGGGATGAAGTTCTTTTCAATCTTCCTGATCTTAAACTTGTCCATGTATTCGATTCTTTGCTGAACTGTCACCTTAAATGTATCTTTTAAGTAAATCTGACATGCAGTACGATTTCAGATGTTTATCTCTAATCATGTGTCAAGTTGAAGATAATTATCTCTAAATGTAACCCTGAACGTTTGTGTGTCCACAGCCACCAAGTCTCCCAGCTCTGAAGCCAAACCCCAGAATTCTGCATTGGTTCCTCAGAACCCTCAACCAGTAGCTAAAGTTCATACAGTCCTGGGGGGACAGCCGCCCCCTGAGTCAGGTAGGTGCAATACTGACATTAATAACATACGAGAACATACACTATATGGGCATTAATATGGAGTTGGCCCACCCTAGGAGGCCCTGACAGCTTCCCATCTTCTGGGAAGGCTTTCCATAAGATTTTAAGGTGTGTATGTGGGAATTTGTTCAGTGGGGTTGAGGTCAAAGCTTTGTGCAGACCACTGGAGTTCCTCCACACCAAACTCGTCAAACCATGTCTTTATGGAGCCCACTTCCGCAGTAGGGTACAGTCACGCTGGAACAGTAAGTGGTCTTCCCCAAACTGTTGCCACAAAGTTGGAAGCATATAATTGACGAAAATGTCTTTGTATGCTGTAGAATTAATATCACCCTTCACTGGAACTGAGGCCAAACCCTGAAAAACAGACCCAGACCATAATCCCTCCTCAGCCAAACTTTACTGTTGGAAGAAAGCATTTTTCGTAATGATGTAATTATGCAAAAAAGTCTGGTGGAATTCCTATTTAAACTAATAACGACAGCTATATTGGAATTGTATTTCCTCATCAGTTAAAGTTCACTTATTCTAAACTAGTTAAATTCATCTCAAGACTTATTTTCTCAGCCCTTCAATCACCGCTTAGCAACCATTGCTATCAAGCTTTCACTTCTTTAGCAGCACACTTTAAGTTTAAGGCTTCAACTGTGCCCAGGGTTAAAAATGAGACCATGACAGTCATTTTCTACTCAACAATTTTACAAAATGCCAGCTTGTGTTAAAACATTGCTGTGCAGTCTGCATTTAGTAATTACGATGCTCTTTTGCTACAATTATGTGAATAGTAGGGATGCATCGATACCGTACTGTACTTTTTTTAGTACTCGTCGATACCCGAAGTGAATTACCGTCAAATCATTGAAATTTAGCTCATTTTGAATGATGTCGATGAGCGAGCTATGCTACATTGGTTATCTTTGGACTGAGCAGCATCCTCGATAATGTCGAATAATTGTTTAATGTTAAATAATCATTTTACATCTTACGATTTGATCATTTTACGCAGGTAGGCGAAGGCAGTGTTAGGAGTCTTGCCCAATGACTCTTATTGTTATAGTATAGGGTGCTTGCCCAGGTGGGAGATTGAACCCCAGTCTATAGCGTAGAAGGCGGAAGTGTTACTCACTACACGTAATAATTAGAAATCTGTTGAGAGTGAAAGTAGAATCGAAGGCACTGTTACGCTTCTAGCACTGATGATAGTTGCCTAGTAACAGCATGTTCTCTGTTAACTGTGTGTGTCTGTTCAGGTGCGATCCTGCCGCTGGTTCTGGGGGTGATTATCAGTGCTCTGCTGTTGCTGATGGTGGCCTGCAGACTGCGTCTGGTGCGCCACAGGATGAAGAAAGCTCGGCCGCTCACCACAGAGGAGTCCGATTACCTCATTAACGGCATGTACCTGTAGCAGAACACACTCCTGTCTGTCAAACCCACACACACAGCTGATGCAGTGTGCGTTTCTGAGTGTGTGGAGGGATACGGAACAGCTGTATTTGAAAACATTGAATATCACTCATATATCATACTGTCCAAAATCTTACACATTGATTCAGATATCAGTCTGATATTGTTTTGATTTTGGTTTGTCAGAAAGGTCATCTTGGACAATGTACAGAAAGCAAAACAGAGCATTTAAAGGCTTGAAAAGGAGGAAACGTCTTGCATTTTTTCGTTTTAGTTTCTTGCCATAAATTAAACTGTACGCAGTTTGGTCACTTGGTCAAATATTTCAGTTAGATTTGAAGACGTTCAAATACATATGGTCACATTAATACAATTCCATCGCTCAGGAGAAAAGAGATGTATATTTTGCGTAGTTAGCTACAGGCTATTTTGTTCTCAAATTCAAAGAAAGCAGAAATCCAAATAAGAGTTACAGTTAAAGAGGAATTTCATTGATTTTTTCAACATTGCTACAGAATTCAGTCGATAAGGCGTAAACAAGGTCATTCAGACTGGTTTGGTGTGAAATTGTAGACTTATTTCTTTACAGTGGTGGTAATGGGAACCAGAAGTCATGATGTCTGCAACACAAGTATAGCCATTATTTAGTATCCAAAACAACCAGATAACGTACACCTGTCCTTTGAGTTTTTAAATGTACTACTGATAATAGTAAAGTGGTAATAAATCTGGAAATCTGGATGTTTTTTGGGGATTATTTCCCTCAACAACAACCTGCATGTATCTCTGCCATGAAACAATATGTTTTAGGCCAAAACTTTATTCTAAAACTATTGTAAAAGAACGTTTCAAATGTCTGGCAACATATTCATAACTATTTCATGTAATAGTTGAAGGGAGCTTTTAGAGACTCTTCAGTCTTCAGAACATTAACATTTCTGACTTTCTCTAGAATAAACTGCTATACATCAAACTGATCTGAATAATCTATTAAATTATTCAAAATCCAGGTGTGGAGACACACAGAAGATTGTATTTTCTTGGAGTTAGTTGTTGGTTTCTCAGACGATCTTCTCTTATTTTCATTGTAAGATCTTAGCAATGTAATTTCTTTGTGTCGGTGACGTAATTTAGATTTTCTTGCTATTTCGGTTTGCACCATTGGGGGCACTAGAGAGCTGCTCTTAGATCTGACTCCTCTGATCTTGCCTGCTCTTGTTTGAGAAATGATTTATGATTTTAACTTTCATGGTTTCTTTCCAGAATCGAACACACAATAAAGTTGACATCTTCCTGATGAAAATATCACTTTGAAACAACATATTGTACTGCTTTGTGAAGTTTCTGCCATCCAGGCAACATGCCTGACCTGCATTCCTGGGCCTGTAACACATCTCTAAACAGTAATACCAGAAACACTTTACCTACTAATTTCACTCCTAACAGATTTTGGTCATGCTGAGCTTAGATCAGGTCTCCTGCAGTTCATATTGGTCAGAAATGGGCACAAACTGGCATGAATATATATATATATACATACACCAATCACCATCCAAAGCCACCAATATCAGCCAGGAAAACAGAAAACTGTGTAGGACCGGGATTGGGAACCTGTTTTCTGATCACTATGTGCTGTAGAAGTCTGATTTCAGGACTGATTTTTTCCATCTTTGTGAATGTCAAAGATTTTCTAAGTCCAGTTGTGATACCAATGCTATTCTTGTGTCATCTGCTCTCTGTAGCTACTCAATGTACTGTAAACGTGTTGCTTTACTTCCGAACTGTAAACTATGTATGCATATCTGTGGAAATGTCAGATTATATTTGAAAAAAAAATATGATTTATGATTTATTTAATGCTCCAGTTATGTTCAGGACATTCCTTCTGGGTAGCTCCAGTTCACCCTAGGTATCTTTTTTATTATGACTAATCATTATAAGATTCTTGGCCGATAAATGGAAGGCTTACACTGTATAGGAGTGTCATCTCAAAGTCAAGACCAAGCCAAACCCAAAGTGACCTTCTTGACTTTGTAAGTTTCATGTGCCTTTTTATATTCAACATAACTCAGCATTTGTTGTTATTTTGCCTGCCCCCAAAATGTCCTCTGAGTTTTGAACACTTCACCTTGGGGGGTTGGTGGGGGGTTGGGGTGGGGCGACTATAACATCATGTTTCACCTACACGCCGACCAACCACCTCATTCCAAATGCTGAGCTAGCTCAGAAGCCCTTGCTAATAAGGTGCTTCATTCAGAAATATGTTTGTCATATCATGCCAGGAGTTCTCAACCCCTTCCACCTCAAAGTCCACCTACTTATCACTACGAAGGATGAAGGGCACACAGGGAAAATGTGATGTGTATTGGCAAATTGTAAGTATGGTGGCAAATTAAGCTAAATGTTTTTGAACGACTGAAACTTCGGCACAATAAATTTTCTTTCTAGAGGCAAAATGAGAGGAAACCACTTTGCATGCTGTTGTTGCGTAGCTTGAATTAAGATTATTTGCTGTTTTATGACAAAGCGCCATCACAAGCCCACTTTCTCCCCCCTCTGTACCGGCCCAAGGACCACAAGAGGGTGCTTCAAGGCCCATTGATAGTCTGTGGTCCAGTGGTTGAGAAGCCCTGCCTTACGCCAAATCACATCCACCTTAAAGCAGACCAGTCTTCAGGGACCACCAGACGGTCCACATTTTGGTGCTATCCCTATGTGTGTGTGGGAGATGGAGCACAAATACGGACCAACTGGTGGTCCCCGAGGAACAGTCTGAGAACCGCTGCTTTAATGGCATGGTTAATCAAAAAAAATCGGATGTACACAGTTTTCCCCTCACCCTAAGACCAGCCAAGACATTTGGTGTCTTAAGTTTGCTTCTTTAGCTTTGCAGCTATGAGGCTAGATAAAAAGTACTGGAAGTCGACCAGTGGTTCTCAGTCCTGGAGTACCACTGCCCAGTATGTTCCCGGTTCTAACACTGCCAGTTCACCTCAGGAAGGGCTTCTTAATTACTTCTTAACATGCAAGGCAGCGACTAGCAAGCTGTTAACCCGCGCCAAGACATCTGTTAGCCTAGCTTGTGAATAGTTAAGTGAAGCCCTCAGTTTGTTGAGCTTGCTGCATGGCGTAGCTCTCAGGACCACTGACACCCTCGTTTCAGTACCAGTTTTAATGAGCCCTTGTCATTTCCCCTCAGAGAAAACCCTGATGCCATGTTAAGGGCTGTTCTGTTACTTTATCAGTTCAAGTGAAGGGTGTTAGATAAGCCCTCAGAGGGGTGAGGGACAGCGTGAACTCCAGTGTCAACTTTAACAGCTTGCTCAGAAATCATTGCGACCTGACACATTTCCCTTTACTAACTACAAAATAACGGCAAACAGAGCTGTTCAGCAGTCATAGCGGTAAACCACTTTAAAATGCCAAAACCATAGCATTTGTTTTGCTGGGCTTCAAGTAACAGACTACTCCATTTGTTTTACAGGACACCTCTCCTGCCACGAGTGGCCATCCGAGGAGAGAGTGGGTGAGGGCAAGCCAAAAAAAGAACTAAAACGAGGCCACAGACTTCTATTAAATTAGCATTGCAGCTTCACTGCAAAACTACAGAAGCAAACTTCAGATACCACGTCTTGTCCGATCAACTGTGTGGAGTAAAAGAAAAATTTGATTTGATTTTTCAATAACCCATTCATTTAATACCAAATGAAGCATTTGATATAATAAGGATTTAATGGATATCAAGAGAACACACACATGGACTTAAGTCACTTGGAAGGACATTTCAGGCAAAATTAAAGAAATTATCCATCTCTGCCTTTTATAAACATGGCTACTAGCCTCCAGATGTGGTGTGTAGTCATCAAACTAGTCATCAGGGACCCCCAGATGGTCCACATTTCTATTTCATTTGTTCAGTTGTAGCAAAAAACTTGAACCACTTGCAGGCCACGAGGACCAGTTTGAAGACCACTGCTCTAAAGTGAGATCTTGAGGGTGGGGGGAGGCGCTTTTGAAAAACTACAAGCACTTTGGGACATAAAATTGATGGTGGGCTTTTTTAATGCTAGCTGGTTAATGCAAACGCCAGATAGCTAGCATTACTGCTAGGAAGTCTGCATTTATTATCCTCCGGTATTAATCAGTGACTAAACTAGCAGTCAAGATTTCTTGAACACCTAGTATTCCCAGTAGATGTATGATGTATTTGTGTAATGCATCCTGGGAACTGTAGTGAGAGAACATTAATGGATGAAAACTAAAAGGATATAACAACATTAAATGCTAGTTTTAGACCAAAACGCGCCTTTTAAGGTCAGCTCAATTAGGCCCCCGCCACTCTTCGCTATTTCTTGCCAAAGACGAGACAGACAGATGGTTTGCACTGCGTTGAGTTTTATTTTTACAAAGCCACGGTTGTGCGAATGCAGGCAACACACCACCTGCGCAGAGAATCAGCATGGTGACCAGTGACAGCGAGCACTTCCACAGTGGAGGGGGGACACAAGCTCAGCCCTGCGTGTGTGTGTTAGTGAAAGTGTGTGTACATGTCTGTGTGTGTCTGTATGCCTGTGTGTGTGTGTGTGTGTGCAAAAGCTGGCTTTGTGCTCTTCGTACGCGATGTGAACCTCCAGTAGTAGCATGTCGGTCAGTGCGAATGTGGGCAGCCAGTCTAAGATGCCATTAGCATGAGCTGCGTGTCAATCAGCTAGAGTGAGCAGGGTTAAAATACTGTCAATAACCAGACTGAGCAAATCTACACTAAACTCAGCTGTAGCTCTGGAAGATAAATGCCGTTGGAGAATGGAGATCTAGAGCAGAGTTTCTCAAACTGTGTGGCGGACCCCCAGGGTTTTTACAAGTCAGGGACAGTACCACAAAATTAGCCAGCTAGCTAGTTAGGTTGTTAGCAAACTCATTTGGAAATATGCGCTTAGAGAAAACAAGAAAATTGTTTGAGATGAACCACTTTACTTAAGCAAATTAGAGTATTATACTTCCACCAAATCATCAATGGCTTAGTCGTTTCAAAACGAAATAAATTACCTAGCTAGTTAGCTGTAAAACTGGAAAACTGAGGTCAATCTCTTCAACTTCATGTCCAAGAAAGCACATCAGAGTATTATATTCTTATTGACTGGTTACACAGCAGTGAAAGAAAAATGACTTTAGCGTTTTAGCAAGAAAGAAGACTTTCACTTAATTTCTCAGCTTGGGGGGTGGGGGGTCCTCAGTCACGAACAAGCCTTTATGAGAACGTTTGGGAAGCCCTGTTCCAGAGGACGCCGCCAAACAAAACTCAGTGTGTGGCCTTGGAATTCCCAGAACGTTCTGGGATCATGACTAGAGTTGAGCCTAGATGTGTTCAGTGAGGCTGCAGCTTCTACACTAGAAGCTGAGAGCGTCTTTAACATTAGCATTGAGCGCGTAGTGGAGTGCGGATATATATCCTCTAAGAACACTCTGTCTCATTCCTACAGTCCATATGCGAAATAGCACCCCCTACACTCAGCTCCAAACAAGCTGAAATGCACATAAACAAACAGACAAAAAAATAATAATTGCAATACTGTAGTTATCACAAAAAAGAAAATGTGCACCTGCAAATCAAAAATCGAAAAGAAAAAAGTTCACAACCCCAAAGCAAACTGCAGGCATGAAAATGTCAAGACAAAGCCCCACTCTTCTTTTCCTTTTTAAGAGAGATCAGTCTGTTCCATCCATCCTGAGGGCTCTTTGGCCACACAGCGGTCGGACTGTTCCGAGAGCGAGAGTGCAATCAGTGTGGGTTTTCCTTCACCGTGGGTTTACCATCTCGTAGTTAGTTGTTAAGTCCTGATGGATGGTGTATGTTATGAGCGTGTATGTTTGTGTTTGTACGTTTGTGTGATGGTGAATATTGCCAGACTGTCGTTTCAAAGTTCATCCCTATGAGAGACAAAGAGAAAAAGGTTACACTGGAAGCATCTCTCGTATGCACGTTAGAGGTCTGCATGGGTTATGAAACTGAAGCCTGAACCCAGCCCGAACCCGACCCAACTGGGCCCAAACTCTACACACTTATCTGAAAGTTTTTGCAGTAGCTGAGACTCACTTGTGATGCAAATTTTGGCAAATTCTTCTAACCAATAACAGACCATCCTTAGTTGGCGGTTAATCATTAATCAAGGATGCAAAATATCGATTACAAAACAGACAGTTCCAGTTCTGAAATCTGATTGGCTGAGCCTTACTCAAAGCCACTGTAAAACACTCGATATATGCACACTTATAAGCTTACTATGCTTTTTAGTAGGTCTATCTAGCAGAACCAGTTAGAACAGTTACTAAGACCAGCTTTGCCCAGGTGTATAAAATCAAGCACATACTTGATGAGATGAATTATTTTCAATGGCCGAGCAGCTACACACAGGCCTGAGATCACTATGTGCAATGCCAAGTATCTGCTGGAGTGGTGTAAAGCATGCCAGCACTGGACTCTGGAGCAGTGGAAAGGTTCTCTGGAGTGATGAACCACACTTCACTACCTGGCAGTCTGTTGGCAGATACCAGAATGCTACCCACTGGAAAGCTTAGTGCCAGCAGTGAAGTTTGGTTGAGGAGGGATAATGGTCTGTTTTTCAGGGTTTGGGCCCCTTAGTACCAGAAAATGGTAATATTAGTGCCACAGCATAGAAAGACATTTTAGACAACTATACACTTCCAATTTTGTGGCAGCAGTTTGGGGAGGACCCTTTCCTGTTTCAGCAGACTACGCCCCTGTGCACAAAATGAGGTCCATAAAGACAGTTTGGCGAGTTTGATGTGGAGCGACTCCAGTGGCCTGCACTGAGCCC